TTACAATATATTCGCTAAAAATTTTATAATATAAAAAAAGAGCAAGGATTTCAAAGCAACATACTGTACGTTATTCAGTTTACGGATGACGGAAGTCAATTATTAATAGGAGTAAATTAAGAAATGAAAAGCAGATATATTTGATAAGACGGCAGCAAATTGCTCAGGTTTATAATGATAAGCATCTATTTAAATAATGTACAAAATTAAAAAACCAATACCGACGTGATCGAAAAATTTCAACTTTTATATATCAGGTGAGAATAAATATAAACGGTATGTGTGATTTCTCATCTTTTGGCATATTCTTTGTTTTATGGGTATGCTGATTTCATTCAATAACATCCGGTATTTCCAATTCATATAATTTACTATCTATAAAAGAGATTATTGAATATAGAATAATTTAATTTATATATTAGTAAAAAAAAAAAAAAAAAATACAGTAATTACCTTGATATTTATAATCACTATTAATTGGAATAATACTACTTTTATAGTGTGATTCAATATATACTTGCATATCTTCGTTATTTATATTTTCTAATTTTTTATTAGATTCAGTTAATTCTGATAAAATTTTTTCATTATTTTGCCATTCTGTAAAAATATCGCAAATTTCTTTTGCTGTTGGTCGTTCTTCTGGCTCTATATTCCAACATTTCTTCATTAAATCTGTATAGCATATTGCTATATTTTCATCAATAGGTGGTCGTAAGCCATCGCGTACTTGTAAATAAAATTGTAATTTAGGTTGTAATTTTGATTTTTGTTCAAAAGGTACAGGTTTACCGTATAAAATTTCCCACATGATTATACCAAATGAATAAATATCGGATTTTTTGGTATAATGCTGTTTGTGCCAAACTTCAGGTGCAATATATGGTAAAATTCCATAAATTCCATCAAATTTTGATGCAATATTAGAAGTTATAGAAAGTCCTAAATCTGCTATGTATGCACTTTTAAAGCTATCTAGTAGTATATTTCCACTGTGTAAATCCCGATGAATAAGGTCTTGAGAATGAATTATCTGAAGATCTACTGCAATACATTGTAGCAGACTTAGTTTATCTTTCCAATCCATTTTTGCAATAGTATGTAAATTTTTGCGTAAACAGCCTTTCGATGCATACTGCGTGACAAGAATATAATCTTTGGAAACTTTATCTCTTGATATACCAAAACATTTTAAAAAAGTTGGATCCTTAAGACCAATATCGCAATATGCTTTTAACTTATTATTAAAAATAAATTAAATATACAATTAATTTAAATAATAAATGATGAATATTTATTATAATTAAATTTACCTCTTTTAAAAATTCTTCATGATAATTATTTGATTTATGAAGTAATTTAAGAGCAACATCTCTATATAGATTTTGATTTTCATCAAACCAAGTAGCATGATATACAGTTGCAAATCCACCTTTACCTATCTCTTTAATATCTTCAAATTCATCGTAAGGAATCCATGATAACTGATAATTATTTTCGCTCAATATTTTTTTCAAATCATCATCAACTTCAGAATTTTGCATCCAGTCATTTGTAGCTAATAATTAAATAAAATTTAGATTATAAATAAATTAATATTATTAATAATATGAATTAATTCCGATAATAATACCTAATGTCAATTCTTTTTCTCTAATCGGTGATTTAAATACATGAAGTTATCAAATATATCAATACATAATGAAAAAATTAATTTAGTCCCTGGTGACATGACACGACCCTAGGTCTACTAATTGAATAAGATCAGATGTAACTCGAAATTTTGGCTCATGAATTATCTTCTGCGTTATATTTCTTGATTTCAATTACTCCTGATCTTAAAAATTAATTATGGTGCATCACAATACACTTACAAAAATTTAAACTCAAAATTTACCTTTGATACCAGTATCTGGCTTTATTTATATCTCTTGTTATGCCAATTCCATTTCGATAACATTCAGCAACACTTGCCATTCCACTAGCGTCTCCCATATTTGCCGATTTTTGATAATAAATGAATGCATTGTGTTCATCCTTTTCGACTCCAAATCCTCTTTGATAACAATCCCCAACATTATATGTTCCATAAACGTCTCCCAGCTCTGCCGATTTTTGATAATAAATGAATGCTTTATGTTCATCTTCTTCAACTCCAATTCCATGTTCATAACAATATCCAACCATATATATTCCTCCAGAATCGTCCGTCTCTGCTGATTTTTGATAATAAAGGAATGCCTTATGTTCATCTTTTTCAACTCCAATTCCTTTTTCATAACAATGACCAACTTTAATTATTCCTTCAGCATTACCCATCTCTGCTGATTTTTGATAATAAAGGAATGCCTTATGTTCATCCTTTTCAACTCCAATTCCTTTTACGTAACAATGTCCAACTTCAATTGTTCCTTCAGCATTACCCATCTCTGCTGATTTTTGAAAATAAATGAAAGCCTTATGTTCATCCTTTTCAACTCCAATTCCATCTTGATAACAACAACCAACCATATATGTTCCACTAGCATTACCCATATTTGCTGATTTTTGAAAATATGTGAATGCTTTATGTTCATTCTTTTCAACTCCAATTCCTTCTTCATAACAATATCCAACCATATATATTCCATTAGCATTACCGATCTCTGCTGATTTTTGATAATAAATGAAAGCCTTATGTTCATCTTTTTCAACTCCAATTCCTTTATTATAACAATATCCAACCATATATGTTCCATTGGCGTCCTCCATCTCTGCAGATTTTTGATAATAAATGAATGCCTTGTGTTCATCCTTTTCAACTCCGATTCCATTTCCATAATAATATCCGACATTATATATTCCTTTAATATGCTCCATCTCTGCAGATTTTTGATAATAAATGAATGCTTTACGTTCATCTTTTTCAACTCCAATTCCATTTCCATAACAATATCCAACATTATTCGTTCCGCCTGCGTTCCCCATCTCTGCGGATTTTTGATAATAAATAAATGCTTTATGTTCATCTTTTTCAACTCCAATTCCATTTCGATAACAATTTCCAACATTAGTTATTCCAACAGCGTCTCCCATCTCTGCAGATTTTTGATAATAAATGAATGCTTTATGTTCATCTTTTTCAACTCCAATTCCTTGTTGATAACAATATCCAACATTATTTATTCCAATAGGGTATCCCATCTCTGCAGATTTTTGATAATGAATGAATGCATTATGTCCATCTCTTTCAACTCCAATTCCATGTTGATAGCAATATCCAACACTATTTATTCCACTGGCATTCCCAAGTTCTGCTGATTTTTGGTAATAAATGAATGTTTTATGTTTATCCTTTTCAACCCATTTTCCATAACGATAACAATTTGCAAGAATAATTTGAATTATAGGATTGGTTTGATTATTTAAACAATAATTGATAATAATATTTGGATTTTGTATCTTGTTTATTAGAAATTGTTCTAATATGTCTAAAATTAATCGAGGAATTTTTTTTTCTAATCTTTCTTTATTATACAGATTACACATATCTTTAACGATTTCATTAAGAAAATCCTGTGAATAATCTTGTGACTTGTCATCTTCTAAATGTAATTGGGTAACATTGTTGGCTATTTGTGTAATATCAGATGAATTATCGGTTTTTTCTGATTGCTTTACAGATAGGTTATTGCAAGTTGACATTTTGACGCAAGAAAGAATATGTTACTGTACCTATGGAACATCAAATTTATTGAAGAATGTATAATGCGAAACGTTCATTTCAGCCAATGACCGAACGAGTGTAATAATGTAGTACTGTATGACCAATATATTATATTTATAAATATTACATCATGTGATCGACCTTTTTAACTGATCCATGTTTCGCTTTTCTTATTTCGGGATAGCCCGAAGGAAGTCTCCGGTGCTATGCTTAACGTGGTAAACAAATTATATTTTCTACCCTTTTTTATTCTATCTTTTTTATTAATTTATATTGTGTATTATAAAATTGTTACGCAACGGAATTATTTACCGACAATCACTTCACATTATTCTCGCTCGGATCCATTTCAATTTTACTAGTTTATTGATTAATGGAGATACACAATGGGAGTAGTGCCGCGCCGCGGCTCTAGGACCCATATGTCAACTTATATAAACTTCTAAATACAATTCAATATACGCATACAAGTATTGCGTAATGGTCACGTGAGACAAAAAGAGAATCGAGTACATGTATGATATGCCGTCGTGATCAAAACGCAAAGGTGTACACATCTTTGTAGTACTACACTCTACAATATTTTTTCCCATTACAGTACTACTAACATCAGTTGAGCGTCGTGAAGCAAGTTGCTGAGCAAGACCCCACAGCCAGCAAGCACGTCCCCGAGCATCTCACTTTTCATCATAAATTAATTTTTATATATGTTGCACACGGGTGAAGAGCCAGTCGTGTAACATCGACTGTTCATCCTGTTTTTCATCATTCTTTTTCCTCTCAATTTCATTTTTACTTTTTACATCTCTCTCTTATATATCTCATCTATTCCTTTCTTAACTAAAAATAGCAACAATGATTCACCATTTACGTCCTTGGGCTTAGCTTGACATGTGAAGATTATTCCATTGATAAATTTATTTTTCAGACGATTAATTTTTACAGGCAAGTTAATTTCATATATAGATAGTATATTTTCATTTTATAGGCTGGTTTATATATATATATAAACTGCACTAACCTTAACTCTAATTTTAAGCCTAACCTTAATGATAATACTAATATTATTATACTGTTACGAAATGAATCTGTCTGTAAATTAATTGTCTGTAAATAAGCTTGTTGGCGAAATGAACGTCGGTTAAAATATGGTGTCTTTGAGGAAATTGTCGATGAGTTGATCGGAACCGCTGCGCAACGTACACTATACCCTCGTTATAACGGAGTAATTTTCTAAACAATTTAAAAATATTATTATTATATTATATAACATTATAACGGATATTCATTTATTATGGATATAATGTACAAAATCTTTCAGCCCGAAGGGTCCGTTATAAAGAGGGTAGAGTGTAGTTGCTTCCAATAAGGATTGGAATCGGTTTAGTCTACTAAAAAATTTTTATAGCAAGCTACTATGTTTAGTCGACTAAACCGATTCCAATCCCTAACTTCCAATACCTGACCAATAAGGTATATTTGAAGTTTTGATCACTTATATTGATAAAATTATTTACATACTGGCCCGATCTCATATACGAGAATGTACGTGAAATAGATCCTAAAAATCCTGTTTCTGCAATTGGTTATACCAAATGTTTATTCAAATTGTCCAAATATACTCAAATTATTGAATTTTTAAATGCAAGCACATTTTTAACTTCTTCATCAGTATTGGCGCTTTCGTAGTATTGCTTATTGTAAGTAAATTAATTATGAAAAATCATCTGAATGTATTATTGAAGCGTTGAGATTAGATCCTAAAAACAAATTAGCTGACAAACAAATATCATTCCTCAAAAGGCTAACGCTAACGGATGAAAATTCGAGTGAACATCGCATTAACAAATACAAAAGAGAAAAAATGGATGTGAAATATGAACAAAGTTATTTCCTAAATTCTCGAAGTAATGAGAATCTTGTTTATAATATCCTCTCTATTGATGGAGGAGGCATACGTGGAATATTACCTATATTATGGCTTAATGAAATAGAATATCGAACCAGAAGACCTATCTCTCATCTATTTAATATGATAACTGGAACTTCAACCGGTGGTATTATTTGCTGCTGAACTATCTACACCGTCCCATGAATATTTAGATTTTAAGCCAAAGTTTTCAGCTTCAGAATTATTGGAAACTTACCAAGATCATACCAAAAAAATATTCACTATGAATAAAGTAAAGAATTCAAAAGCAAAGTATATAAACGAAGGTCGCTCTAAGCTATTTGAAGAATATTTTGGACAAACGAAATTGAGTCATGCACTCACTAATTGGTTATTCTTGCAATAAATGTAGCTGATTCATCAGCAATTCATTTATTTACACGCAATGATGCTCGTGAAGATGAATTAAAAAATGATACTTTTGTTGATGATTTAATGGCTGCAACGTCTATACTAACTTTTTTTTCACCCTATGAGATGAAGCATAAAGGTCTTTTCATTGATGGAGGTATGCATATTAATAATCCAGCATTGACATTTTTCAATGAAGCTATTCGATATAATGTAGAAAGATTTTTATACTTTCATTGGGTACAGGAAGTTATATACCAGATCCTTCAAAGCCATTTCCTTATAGAGATAAACATTTTTGGGCATCAAATCAATTTAATATATCTAATGATGAAAATGAAGTTGATCGTCAAATGCACTTGATGTTAAAAAATCCGGTTCGGCTCACTTCACCGACGCTCGTTTCGTAGAAATAACATTTCACCGACAACAATTCACCGACATGTTATTTCGCTGACATTTATTTTCCATTTCACCGACAAAATAATTCTGGTCATTGTCGTTAGGGTCAGGTTAGAATTAGAATTAAGGTTAGTGGAATTTATAAAAAAAATTGTCTATGAAATGAGCTTCTGTGAAATAAATTGTCGGTGAATTTTTGTCGGTGAAATGTTATGTCTACGAAATGAGCGTCGGTGAAGTAATACGTATCCTAAAAAATCAATATCAACGATAGCAAGTTTCATTTGAAGATCAGATAAAATTGGATGATCTTGAAAGGATTCCATACCTCATAGAAATAGGTCACCAATATTTAGAATAGTTGTATGATTCAGATGAAAATTCTATTAACAAGTTGATAGAATACTTTGAAAATAAGAAGTGATTACATCTAGCTATATATATACCATTTACAATATAACCACGATATAACGAAGCTCTGTAGCTGGAGGTTTTCTTCGTTATATCAAAACTTTATTAGTAGTTTCGTTATATCAGGGCTAATTTAAACATAAAAATTAGAAACAATCTTCGTTATCGTTCGTTATATCGAGATTATACTGTATTTGTCGATGGATCTTTATCATTACTTTATTTGGATAGGTTCGCTTTGATGTTTTCGTCATCTGATCTTGATCTCATAATTTTTATTGCATTTTAATTGTTTTTTATATCTTTTTTTTTTTTTTTTTTATTCTACCTTACACCTGATTTATTTATTTTTTTTTATTCTACCTTACACCTGTTTTATTTATTTTATTATTTTTTTTTACAAATAAAATTTTTCGAAATTTAACAAATAGTATTTAGTTATTAAGACTCGCCTTTTTTTTTTTTAAAGCTTTTCGGCCCTAAGAGACTTCGAATTTTTGATTTAGTGATTAAATTAATGCAATTAATATCGGTTCTGTCATATTAGGATATCAAATGTGACCAAGAGATGAGTAAAATAATAAGAATGAATGATCGATCCTAGGAAACAAGCTTTGGACCACGTGGGCAGCGAGGCGATATCCCGTATAGTTGTTTCGTAGTTGTTTGTACCATGATAAGTGATCGAGTGACAAATACTTAAGTATCAGATCCGGTCTTGTACAGTAAAATCCCGCAATAGTATTGGACAAGAAGAAACATATCGTTATTTAAAAACAATATATACTATAAATCCATACTATTCTACATCAATATTAAATTTAATAGCGAATTTCTTAAAATTTAATTTTTATGTTCTCGACTAAATTTTTCAAATTCTGGTGAACTTTTGCAAAAGACTTTCTGATATCAATCTTAAGTGGAGGATTGGCCTTTTTTGTGTCCTTGCATAACCAATTATTATTGACTTACGAGTTCTAAAGTAGCAAAAGCACCATAGACATCATTTCTTGTATGATAGATTGAACCTAGGTGCAGCACAAAAAATGCGCGACAGATCCTCGATTTTGATTGGCTAAGAGCGACGATCAAAAATTAGGCCGGAATTACTCGTAATTTTACTAATGAAATCGCAGCCACCCATTAAGTGAAAATTGTTCCTGGTTAACAATTGTGTAATGTGTGCCGAAATTTTGAAGATCCTCGGCCGTTAGTCAATCAAAATCGAGGATCTGCAGCGCATTTTTGTGTGGCACCTAGGTTCAATGATAAGAAAGTCTACTGCGGCAAAAAGGAGATTTTGATTAGTTATATTGTTCTGCAAAGATTGTCTTTTTGGCCTGATTAATCTTAAAGGAAACTCATATTGCCTTCAGTTCTTTACCTCCAGCATTCATAAAATCAGTAATTCATCGTTTAATGGTTTGTTGATTGCATTGCATATAACATTAAAATCATTCAAGTCTTGACTCTCAAGAAGCTTAAAATATTTTGAAATTATATGCGCCTCAAAGGCGTGGTCAGCATTATATTTTTATAATACGAATTCTATTAGCGATTATAACTTGAATGACCTTGTCTGGTATATTCGTTGTATATTCATGTTGGGAATAAACTTTTTGAAGATTCTTTAATTTTGAGACCATTACAGAAAGTCGTTACTAAAGGCAATGTACAGTTAATCAATTTTAGTATTTAAAATATTAAATTTATGAATGCATATGAATGCATTACCTTCAGGAATGTCTGGCACTTTTTTATTGAATGATAACAATTGGACAATGACAAGGGCTCCAAAAAGAAGACAAAGAAATTGAAACTGCATAGTTCTGGCTATAGGTAATAGTACTTGGAATTATCGTAATAAGAGGGCCACTTGAATATCCATAAAGCATAGAATCGAGCTTTTCTCATCTTTATACATATTCTATGTCACTTGAAATTTTATTTCCATGCGTGTATTAATCATTTTCATCCAATACAACGATGCACTAATTTTAAAAGGTTTTACTTGAAATTCATTATTTATAACGAGAAGCTTATTTTATTAAAATGTTGATAAGCAAAGCTTCTCTCATATCAAATACATAAAATACAAAAAAAAATTCATTTATGTTGTAGCTATAGCTATTATCCATATTTATTAAAAAGATTTAATTCGATAAGATAGCTGCGCAACGTAATTCGCTAAGATCATGAACAGATGTTCCATTAAGAACATTTATTATTTATAATTTATAAATTATTTATATGATAATCTGACCTCAGCACTCATATATTCATATATAGCTGTCATCATAATTAACAAATTACAGAATTATGGCATGGTCATAATTAATTATGCATAAAATCTTGATATTTTAACTAAATAATAACTAGTAATACATGGTACAAATCATAACTTATTTACTATATATTTACTAGGTAATATATGTATTTAAACATATTAACATATTAACTAAAAAATATATTAAACTGCATATATTGTCTAAATATATAATAAATAAGTTATAATTTGTACTTTATACTGTATTACTGGTTATCATTTAGTTAAATATGATTTTTTTATCAGTAATAGCGCCATATTTCTGTAATCTTAATAACTAACTAAGCTTAATAGTTTTTATTTTATTTTTATTTTTTTTATTTTTTTATTTTTTATTTATTTTTATTTTTTTTATTTTTTTATTTTTTACTTTTTTTATTTTTTTATTTTTTTTATTTTATTTTTTTTTTTATCTTTTTTATTTTTTAATTTATTTTATTTTTTTATTATTATTTTTTATTTTAGTTATCTTATTTTTTTATTTTTTATTTTAGTTATTTTTTTTATTTTTTATTGTTATTATTTTTTTTATTTTTTATTGTTATTATTTTTTTATTTTTTATTGTTATTATTTTATTTTAGTTATTTTATTTTTATTTTTTATTGTTATTATTTTATTTTATTTTTATTTTATTATTATTATTATTATTATAATTTTTTTATTTTTATATTTTTATTTTCATTTTTTTTATTTTTTTAATTTATTTTTTATTTTTTATTTTTTTATTGTTATTATTTTATTTTATTTTATTTTTTATTTTATATTTTTAATTAACTTATTTACTTATTTATTTTATTGGATTAAAATTGAAAAAATGCATATATAATTTAATTTCTGCTAGCATTAAATAAAATTTATTATTGAATTTTATTTATTTAGAACTTAAGTTTCTATAAAATATATAAAAGTAAATAACTAATCTAAGCATGATATTTGGTGGTGTCGGTATAAGTAATATAAACCGAATGATGGAGGGATGAATCATTTTAAGCTCATAAAAAACTATTAATAATTCAAAGCAAAATTATATGTGGGCAAAACGATCTTAATGCTGGCAAATTAATCGGTTACCATGATTAAACATTTAAGATGATCGGAAAATTTTAGATTATCTTAACCCAAATAGATGTTGGCCTAGATTTGAAATTGTAGTTGATTGGCTTTTTTCTATATTATGATTTACGGAGTTACTAACATTATAATATTGTTATCAAAAAGTTTAAAAAAGTTTATTAAATAAACCAATTTTAATAGTCTAACATGAAATATTGCTGTTGTGAAAATATTATCGTTAACTGTCACATTATAATGTTTTCATGCTAACGTGTGCTGTACTTGCGTACAATTGTGTACGTATGTACTGTACCGACAATTTATGTCAAACGTAGGCTTTCTAAAAAAATAAGGGTTTCGAAGCTATTACGTAGTACTAATATTACACGTCACATTTTTAAATTTATGTTAATAATTGCGACATCCGTACAAGGTTACTAAATTTACATGTATAGGTTGGCATTCTTAATGTTATGGGTTGACCAGTATTACACGTTATGAATTGGTCTTTCCGAGTATTATAAGTTAAATATAGTGTTTTCCAATGAGCCGGCTCAAATAGGCTTATCCTACACCCCATCGGCTTATTTAGAACTTATTTGACTTGTAAGCTGTGTAATTTATATTATATTTATATTCAAGAATATCGTATAAATTATACAAATAAGAGATAATTTTATATATTATATAGTGTACAAACTATATAAGCTTTAACGAGCCAATGGGAATATCGAGTATTCCTATTTGAGCCGGCTCATTGGAGAACCCTAGTTAAATATTTGTGAGTATTATGGATTTTTTTAATTTTGAAATAAGAAACGCACAAATATTGTGGGCTAAGAATTCTCTACTTTAGTGTGTTGTATTTTGATTGACATCTGTTTATACCAAAGAACAAATTTACCAGTAATCCGATGAAACAAGTTAACCGAAAAATGAAATGTGTACGAATCCGTGCATTTGATTGGATAACAATTTTCATGTGTCAGCATTTTGCACTTCGTGTGATATAACAAAAGGTGTACTATTAAAAATGCAATAACAAAATGAAGCTTTGTTATGGAGACTATTCTATAAATGATTTAGAAACTTCCAAGGAATATTTTTGTATTCGATAAGTTTATCTAATAGAATTTATCTATTTTAATATAATTTATTTCCAATGGTACCATTAGAAATTAAATGCTATAGGTTAAAATGTTAATGCAAAAGAACTTACAAAATTTCTTTAGTGTCACATAATCCGGTCAGATTTTTTTATTGTCATTATTGTATTTCTACTAAATATCAAAAAACTTTGTATAACTTTTTTTTTTTTTGATATTAATTTGGTGTACGAAATTAATATATTCTAATAAATCAAAGTTTATACAGTATAATGTCTTTCATTAGATTTATTTTTATTTGTGTCAATACAAAAGCACATTATGTATAAAAATATCATTTACAAATGAATATATTTGATAGTAAATAAATAATACTGCGTAGTAATGTGACACAATGTCTCCTTCGTTAAGATAAATATTCTCGTGCTATGTGAAAATAATTCTATAGTTGAGTATAATCGGTACCGCTGGTGAAAATGTGTAGGACGTCTAAAATGATGTCAGCCCATTTATTAATATTTTATTAAATAACTTTAAAGTTGAACCGCTTTAGGTAAGTCTAGGTTTAGAAGATAAAATTTATTATCTTTTTGCTTTTTCGGGCTGAATTTAGCCTCTAAAAATTTTTATTTGCTGTAATTAGGCTGTCTACACGTATTAAATTTATTTTAATCTTTATGTTTATTTTTGTTTTAATAGAAAAAATTATATAATTTATTTAATATTATCATAAAAAATTGCAGGCAACCCTGCTGATTCGGGTTTAACTTTTTATAATGTCACATGTTTAGACGAGAGAAAATGGAACAATTTACACGACGGTTCCAAATATTTGTCCAAGGGATTGCTACGTATCTACCATTACTATTGGTTTAAATATATGCAAAACAAATCTCAGTATTACTGAAATCTATCTAGTATACATATATAAATTTAGCAAATTATCGGAAATTATCATTGTTTGTCTTCTATGTAATGCTTTTTAATGATTTAAGATATACATATAAATCTTTTTTTTAAGTCGATAATCTCTTCTAGTCTATTACTGTATTAGAAGAGTATTATGATTAATGGCTTCTATCACTCCGATTACAAGGGATCAATATGATTTTATAGCTCAATTATGTATTCCTCTTAATATCATTTCTCTCACTTCTACTGTTGTCTCATGCGTGACATTTGGTTTTATACGAATGTACTATCCTAAACTCGCTGATCGAGTTTCATTTCGTTTAAGTTTTGCAGCCTTATTCTTTGATATAGGTTATTCTGTTCATATTTTATTTGCTATATTTTTGGATGATAATCCCAATTTGTGTGCATATTCGGTAAGATATCCATCAGCATTCTCCTTCGATGTCAAACAGCTACCTTTTTGATATAGGGCTTTTTTTTTAATTTAATTAATTTCTTTTTATGTCTAAGAGTTGGGGAATCGTATTTTTTGGTCTTACTTCTCTATTCTTTATCGTTTGTATAGCCTTGGTATGTATAATTATGTTTATCTCGTTCTTTATATACACTATATATATATTTCATTTGTCTTTATTTTATTTAATTTAGAATCTTCATATAGTATTCTTATGCGAATTTAGAAGTCGTTATAATCTTGAAAATTATTATTTTATAATTGCACCTTTTTTTGCCCTTTTACTTTCTCTTCTTCCTTTGGCTTCTAATATGTATGGTTATGATGAACCCGAAGCGTATGTATATATATATTAATTTATTTATTTATTTATTTCATATTTATATACACATAATATTTTTATTTCATTTATTAATATTTATTAATATTTATTACAGATCTTGTTGGTATCGTGATTCGGGTCGAGAAGAAAGTATAATATGGCAATGGTTTACTCTTTTCGGTTGGATAGATGCATCCATATTGTATTGTGCGATCGTTGTTATTTTGGTCATTAGAAAACTTAGATCTGTAAAAAAAGAAATTGATGATGTTTTTGATTCTGCAACTTCTCAGTTATCAGATTATCCTACTTTAATTAATAAGAAATTGATTTCTTCTGTTGTCAAAAGAGTCTTATGGTATCCTGTAGTACCATTGGTGGCTCAATTTTTTAACTCTTTCGTTGAAACTTATGCTTATGTTTATCGTTCGATATCTTATCCTCTATTTTTACTTTGCTATATTGGCATGTCACTTCAAGGTATATATATGTGTGTTATAATAATATTATTATTATTTGATTATTCTTGATTTTTTTTTGTTATAAATATTTTGCTTATTTAATCCTTTGTATTTTAGGATTACTTAATGCTTTAGTATTTTCTCAAGATATTGCTGTTACTCATACCTTTCATGCTATTAAACTACAATTGTGGATCTCCAATGTTAATTCTTTTGAGTATCTCTATCCTCATCATTCTCACAACAAAGGCATTACCGATGAATTCAGTATGATAGGAAACTTTAATGATTTTGTTGAATTGAAGGCTCTAAATTGCAATAAGGCTGATTTCATTAAAAACGACGATGTTATCAATGACGATATTATTAATACCAATAATAATAATGACATTAACAATAATAATAGTTTGGTTTTACAACCATCTCTTTTAGAATGGTTAAGATACATGCTATTGATTAAACTCTTCTCGGCTCCAAAAAATTCATCATCTCAATCCATTCCACCTGAATTTTCATCACCAAACAATACCTTTGCTAGAAATAAACCTAATATTTTTTCTGTTCTTCTTGAAAAGGACGATTTAAAGAAGGATATAAGTCTTGACAATCAAAACGATAATCAAGATATTCATTTAGCTTTTCCTGAACCTGTTCATATAAAAGATTCTTCTCAATTAAATTTATTATCTCATT